CGCTTTCCCTGTCTCAGTTTCGAAGGAAATGTTTCCGAAAAATTTCTGTATCCCTTCCCAACATGAAAACGCCAGTTGTGATCACTAGAGACAATGCACAAAGTTTCACACAAGATTCGTTTCCGAAGAGAAACAAACTTACAAAAACCACACTCTATGGACGGTCGAGGGTAGGTCGGGCGGAGACAAGGGAACGCATGGAAAGAAGTGCGCCTTGGAGCGGCCACGTATCAGGCGACGCATTGAAAGAATCGGGTTAAAGCGTTCGAATTCGGAGAACGGAGACAAAACGATCGATAGAATAGGATGCAGTAGAAAAGAAAAATGTTGCTATGGGTGGAAAAGGCCAAAAGAGTTCCTAGTGAAGGCACTCCGAGAACCAAGTGGAACGTTCCCGTCGCCAACATTTGTGACAGATGTGCGGCGGTAATTTGAACGTGTAACAGTCTTTCGGGTTTTTCGAATTGTTAAAATAAAAATAAATAGTTAGTTAAATAGCTAATTATTAATCATTAATGTTAATAGAGTTAGTTAAATAAAAATTAAACACAATTTTTCTTTCGTTCTTATCGTGAATGATGGGTCTTAATCCAGCGATTTTTGGGTGCGATAAAATCATGGTTTTTCGTGGACGTTTCCTCTAACCATGACATGCCATCGGTGAAGTATGTAACAAGGAGTTCGCGACTACAATTTACTTTGTAAACACGTCAGTGAAAGCAACTGGCTATAGCCGTTCACCTTCTACGAACACTGCCAACGAAACCTAGCTCAGTATTTAGGCTCCGATATATTGGGTTGTCTCATAATTCCTGTCGCATTTCTATTCAATTTCAAATTCCTTCCGTCTAAGACCGTTTCATTGCGAAATACGTTAGTATGTTGAAGTATGCTTCAAGAGCCTTAACAGCATGGTTTCGGAAGCGCAAGCCCTTAACGGGTTAATCAACTAGGAATAAAAATAGGTCAGTGACTATAATGAATGATTATGCTTTACGATCCTCAAATGAACTCTGTAGCAAGGAGGACAACAGAGAAGATCAGCGCTGTGTTTGACTCAGTCTCTGCTACTGATAGGGTACTGAGCTAGTGGTCCAATCGCAACGGCAAAGACGAAACGAGCTATGAACTTCAACCTCATACTGGGCCTGCGGTCATTTTTGATGAGCGCCCTTGCACCCTAAATTGGGAGTGCCTTCGCGTTCTACAGTGCTGTATCAGAGACACATTGCTAGACAGAGATACGATGAGCCGGCGGGCCGTAGCCGCTAATGGAAGTTTGAAGGGTTTTTTTCCACTCACTTCCGACGCCATATATTGCCAGATGTTGGACTGCCTGCCAGTTATTTTTGAAGTTTTGATGGAAACCTTATGGTCCGGCCGACCATGAGCGGGAAGCACGCCTGATCCCTGGGGAAAACCATTCTGGATGGCAAAAGCAGAGTCTTCCCTAATCGGTCACCGGTGGAAATGAGTCATGAGTCCACTGCGACAAAACATGCGGCACGTCTGATGGCTGCCTCGCAGCCAGGAAGCACCAGCTCAACCAAAGCCCGAACTCCGTTTTCTGAGAATATCGATCTCGTTTTGTTGGATTCGCTAGGTGGCCTGGTTTGGGAACCACTTCAATGTATGAAGACAAGCATTGCTAAAGTCAGCGCGGAATAGCCCTCTAGGCTGGCTTCGGGGTTGCGAGGGAATCGTCAGAAACGTCTCAGATTCTCCTTTCTCCGAATGTACGCCAGACCTCACATTGCAATGCCAACTCACCACGTTCTGAGGGAGATAGCCAGGGCCACGATACCTCATCCACCATATAGCATTGGCATCGCTCTATCGGACTATCGCCTCCCCTGCGCTTTGAATAAGCATCTGCCAGAGAAGAAAGTTAAAGATTGCGACCACCCCAAAAACGACTTCTCCAAATTCTTCAACCCCCAGTTTCCTTCATTCTGGGCTGGAAGCTTCCAAACGCCCACTAGCAAATGCACGCATATCAGTGACCATGATGGTGGTTATGCTATTGATCAGTTGTTTCCCAGAAGAGATAAAACTTGAATAAACAAAAGTGTCGAAATTGCGACAGGAATTATGAGACAACCCAATAATCACAGAACAGTGTAGATTTGGGATTGTGTAAAATAGAACTGCCTAAGACATGACAAGCATAAACCGCTGGAAGAGGTGGCTATCTCAAACGCGATGCAAAAATATTAGGAATACTTAAAAACCAAAATTCCATTTTGCGCTTGGAAATGAGATCATATGGGGACCCAATAAATTTGGCAAATTTCCTACTTCAAACACGCACTTACGATGAAAATGCTCCATAAGCGGAGGGCAGTCAGGGATTCAATAAGTGGTTTGTTGCACTTCAAAATCGGCCTGATAGCGCATTCAGAAGAACTGAAGACGACGCTTGTGCTGCACGAATTGCATATATTGAACACTCGACTTTCAAGACGAGCTCGAACTCCACGCGAACTTTAAATGAGCATAGCGCATGAACAAAAGAACATCTGCCCTTTTTCCATGAACGTTCAAGAGCTCCCCAATATTTGTGGAGCGCATCGAAAGCTGATCTGAGCTGATTCACTAATGTAAAGCTCTTAAAGCATTCTCTTTTTACTTATTCATTAGAGACGTGTCCGCTTGAGGGCCTTACTTCTTCTAGTGCGTGACAACATTCGAATGTCGTTCTTACTGGACAAAATTTCAGTACCTTAATTTTGTCCACTCCGGCTCCTCTCACTCTCATCCCCATGTTGTAGTGGATGAATAGGCGCCGCTATCGTACACATAGTGCGATTATCAAACATCTGATAAAATCTCACCCAAGACAAGAAAACCATTCGTGTCCCAAGGTCGATTGAATGAAGCCACTCTCATTTGAGAGGACAAACACTGAGGTGTACGGCTACTCCCACACACGATTAACTGTCCGTTTGAAGTTTTCGAACAGGGGTTGTATGTGATTTTGCAAAGGGTGTCGTTTTCGGGTGGAAAAATGCAACGGTTGCATTTGCGGATGTCGAAGGAGCCATGGTTGCGGGAAAGAGGGCTGTTTTTTTAGGGTTTTAACGATTGCGGTGAAAATTTCATGAAAGAAGCGTAAAATAGAGAAAATTAGTGGCCCGCGTTTTTAGAGACATATTTGCTAACCTTCTCCTACGCCCTCCCCGCTCCATGGTCATTTTGGAGGAAAAAGTGGAAGGCTGAGTTGGAGCTTGGTGACTAGTCTCAAAAAACCAATTACTATAATAACAACCCTGATGCAGATGATGGTGGTTGGGAAGATATCAACGGGAAGGAGCCTCTAGGGTTGATGACGGAGGTCCCCGCACGACAATTTTCGGCGGAAAGGAACGCATACTTCCGACCTTGCTCCAGGGTCAAGCGTGCGTTGAGGAATCCTCGACAAGGTGGGGGGGGGGGTGATGGTAGCAGCGGCGGGTGTTTGGTAGTGGATGGGAACTGCAACACGTGCCAGATGTCGAGTGCGCGCCAGATTCTCGCGCGAATTCCACCATTGTGGTGCGCTTTAGTTTTCGTTCCCTGCAACGGATATGTAGGTTCGGGACGCAATAAAAGGTTCATGAAAGGAACTGTTCAAAATGACAAGAAGGATTCCAATGAGCAAGTAGCCATTTAGTATGCAATCCTGCCACACAATTCTGCACTTGTTAGAAAGCCGAAAGCTTGGAAATTTTAATACTGTTCCAATATTTGTATAAAGTTGTGGATGAAAGGATTTGCGCTCGTTGCAATAGTGACAGTGGAACAAAAGAATATCTTAGGAGTGTTGGAACAAACATCTTCAACCTATAAGCGAAAGCTGAGCTTATCATCAAGTCACTTTGATAGCTGCTCAACACAGCGAATTTTCTACATAGTTTATGCATTTTTTTGGTTCGATGCATACGAAAGACGTCATGGCTCTTGAAAGTGTGTGAGCTCGTGCTCGTCAAGATTTCGCCGTAAATTCATGTAGAATAGTAGGAATATACCGAAAAGGGTATTTTCTTGCTATTTTACAAAAATGCCATTCAAGAAGTGCTCGTCAAGAAGCTTTCTGAACTTGTTCCACTTTGAAAGTTCGTTCGTTTCGAAGAAAGGAACGGTCATCTAGACTCATGTCCGATTTTCAACGTGTTCCCCCAGTAGATAATCTGCTCGAACGAATTCATCGCAAGACCAATCCCATTCCTTCACAGCAGGGTGAACATTGGTCGAGGATTTCCGTCGGATCAGTTACGCTCTCCTGCGCCGACATTCACACTCGCCATGCGCGAGCCGTTTGTGCTCTCCGCGCATCAAAGTCTCAACGTTTGACATCGCTTGACCATGTCGCGGTCCCGCAGTCCCATTTGGGCCGAAAATGCCTGTACGCCCTCAAAGGCTACTGCAGTTCTGAGCATAAGCCTAATGCTACTTATCTCATAGAAGTAGTCATCAGCATCGTCCAACTAACGTTCCCCCTTTTTTGCATTCCTTCGACTTCCCCTGCAGTAATGTGAAACGCCACCTGTTACTACCTTATGAGTGGCATGCATTGTGAAGTATATTTCTGGGTTGCTCGATCCTTATCACCTGGACGGGGTCTCATTGACCCCATCCCGATGCAGCGCGTGATATCACGTCATATGAGAGCACTGATAACCAAATTAGTAACGGCTACTTCATATAAACAAGCATAACTGTTTATTTATCGAATTCGATTCGTTCACCAACTTTTGTACAAAACACGTATTTCATGGCACTTAAAGGGCAACTGGAATACATAATAGAATTTTTTAGGATCACTAAAGTGTAGCAGTAACCCGATTTACAAAAGCTACAAATTATTACTCCACTGTAAGAAGTCTGAAAATGGGTAATACTAAAGCAAGTTTACAAATAAAATTTTTCTAGACAATTTGAGAAAGACAGGAAAATTGATCGGAAATGGGGAAATCTATGCAGTTATCCTGTGCGACAGACGAAAAAAGTCAACAACTTATCTATGGCCGGCTAAGACGATGTCTTTTATGTCGACAATCACGTTCTTCGTTACCAAAATTAATTTCCATATTTATCGATCCAATATCCATCCATTCCGTGATCGTCCCGTTATTTATGTACTTAGCCGGTAGCAGCCAGTACACACGACGTTTGCAGGCCTTGAAATAGTGAATAAGTTGCGGTGAAGACACTGTTCAGAAATTTTGTTGATGGATACACTAGATTTTAGGAAGTCATTCAAAAATCACCAGGCGCCAATAGATTCAGAAATCCAGAAAATGTTTTTGCCGGCACCAAGCCAAATGTCAACTTTCAAAAGAGAGATGAGTAGATGGGAAAAGGAAAGAAAGACTTGACCAACTTCGAATCACTATCAACCTAACGCTGCGGCGGCAATTAGTGGCAAGTGGCACGCTTACCACGCGAGCGGTCCGGGATCAAATCCTGGGTCGTGAGTCGCCCGGGCCAACCAAGCCTTCCATCCCTCCGGGGTCGGTTAATTGGTACCAGACTTGTCTGGGAGGATAAAAACACTGACTTGAACATCGGCTAGGCCAAATCGCATTTAACCGCCACTACGAATAAGCAATGCTCGACGTCGTGCACACTCGGTGATGCCGGCAGCGCGACTCCGCCCGCTTCCGACGCTGACTGTTAGGTTGTAACATAAGCAGCACAGTTTATGTGGAAGATTGTTCTTTTTGCAGTATGGACACGAGAAAAATGGTAAAAATTTGATCACAAGAAGTCAACCTAGGATTACAAGAAGATCAACTCGGAAATTCAACATACTATCCTCGAAGTTAGCAAATGCAGTATTCGGTCTAATCGTGCCATACCTTATACTTGTGTCCACAATCGTGGTAGATTTTTAGTGCAGGCTCTATCTGGGTGTCCTCGTACGTGCCACCCTTCAGGTAAAATTCGCCGTCATCTTCTGTACGTGCTTCATCTAGCAGGTCGTCCTTATCGTCGCCTACAACGAGCCAAAGTACAAACTTGAATTAGCAATGAAATGGTTGGAAATGGCGCTGGAGTCGTGGCACTGTGGCGACTCGGAATTGCGCGACAATTTCATTGAGGCCGCGTTTGGCGCTGCAACCGCTGCCATTTCACTTGATCACACTATGAGTGCTGTCTGCGCCCTCTCCTGCTGAGCTTTTTAGCGTATTCCCTCTCCTGCTCATGCTATGTACCTCCATCGTACCACGGTCACCTTGTAAGGGAAGAATGCTCCTCGATTCCAACGTTTTTTATGGAAGCCTCTGCTTTTTTGCTAGAGGTTACGGCCATCTTCGAAGCTCTGGTCTCACTTTAGAACGGAATGAAACATCAAAGATCGTGCCTCGTGCCCTTGCAAATCGTAAGGTTTACTATATTCAAGTGACTCGATCGACTAAAAAGGTGGGTTGAGAAAGAAACAGAGGGCTCTCTACCCCTTCAGCACTTCTGATCTTCCCTAAATATGTACAAGCAAGGAGTGTTAGCAAGGTATCGCCAAATGACGTCTCGCCTTTTTGGTCCTTCCTCATTC